CCTCTGCCTAAGTATGCATGAAGACAGTACAGCAGGAGTATCGACCAACGCGCATACATCTTTTCCTTCCATGGATACATCATGGGAATGCCGAAATACAAAAAGTTTAAAACAGATTGAGCGAACTTCTTAGTATGTGGTCTGGTCAAACCCTGGGGGCTGCCATGTTCGTGTGTAATCGTTACATGTTTGGAATCTGTATTTCCTAGTACAGTAGAATGTGCAATACCACAAAATTACGGCACACTGTAACTTATGGCATTACGATGACAGATATATATGTTATTGTATATGACAATATGATGTGTGTATTCATATTCACATGGTTTGTATATAGGTCGTCTTGGTATTGTTGATTATGATGAAGTTGAATTGAGCAACCTCCATCGTCAAGTATTACATACAGAGGATAGAATAGGCATTGAAAAGTCTGCATCTGTAACCACAGCAATTAAAGGGTAAATCAAATATTATTATCAGTAACCATGGCAATCAAAGAGTAAAACAAATATTATCTGTAACCATGGCATTCAAAGGGTAAATCAAATATCATTATATGTAACCATGGTAATCAAAGTGTGAACACTATCCCTAAACATTGTTGAGAAACAGTGGGGTAGATCAAATATTATTACTTGTAGCCTTGTTAAGTAAAGGATAAATAAAATATTTTTACTCATTTATTCCAAGGGCAAAGGTCAATCACTGCACATCATGTTGAATGCAAACACATTGTATTATGCACATTCCAGTGTTAACTTGTTCATCCTATTTTTATGCACAGCTTGAATTCATCAGTGGTTTGCATCCCATATCATATGTCACTGAACAGTTCAAATGCTATCCAAGTTATTCAACAATATCCTTTTGTCATCTGCCAATATCATCCTGAACTGAACATTAACATGTCATCAAATATTTGATGTGTTCAAAGGAATAAAGAGATAGAAATTTGATTTTGTATTTGCATTTTTATTTGAACACATCAACAAACAATTTTTACACAAACCTGGGTTTATTTCATTACTGATTATGACTGCTAGCAATTTTGTTTTATTTATGTTCACGGTCGATCATGAAGCCATGCAAAGACCAAACATAATGTTTATATACATGTCGATTAGTTTTTTGATCAGATCTAATTTGACTGATATTGTAGATTAGTATTTTTGCAATTTGCCTTATTTATTCAAATATAGTATGCAGTTAGGCATGGTTTAGTGGGACAAGCGCATGTGACTGTGTTCTTTGGGACCACTTGTAATATTTTCCTTTACCAGCTATATTACATATGATATAGTATTGGATTGCACTGACAACGTGGCTACAAGGTATTTATTGAATGATGCATGTGTGCTGACTGGTAAGCCATTGGTATCAGGAAGTGCACTCAGGTTTGAAGGACAGGTCAGTGGCTAGCTACTGTAAATGCATTAATTGTTCACTTGTTCTTAATTTTGTTATTTTCACTGATGCTGCTAAGCATAACAATAGAATTCTTTGTTTCCATATCAAGTTTGTAAACTTTAAACCCAGTGAAATTGCTCAAAATTACTTTAATGAAAACAAATCATTATCTTATATTGGAGGTATGTGACTTATGTGTGTTCCTCTGACTAGTGTTGCCGGGTTAGGATGTTGGCAAAATGTATTGACAAATCTTAAGAATCTCGTGCCCTTTTTTTCTGGTCAGGTTACAGTTTATAACACTCAAGACGGACCATGCTATAGATGTCTGTTTCCAATACCACCACCCCCAGAAACAGTGACAAATTGCTCGGATGGTGGTGTACTTGGTGTAGGTAAGTTTATTGTGGTGTACTTGGTGTAGGTTAGTGTATGATGGTGTACTTGGTGTAGGTTAGTGTAGGTTAGTGTATGATGGTGTACTTGGTGTAGGTTAGTGTATGATGGTGTACTTGGTGTAGGTTAGTGTATGATGGTGTACTTGGTGTAGGTTAGTGTATGATGGTGTACTTGGTGTAGGTTAGTGTATGATGGTGTACTTGGTGTAGGTTAGTGTATGGTGGTGTTGTTAAGTGTATGATGGTGTACTTGGTGTAGGTTGGTTATATGCTGCGATGGTGGTGAACTTGCAGGTCTTGGAAAGTGTATATGCTCCAATGGTACTTGGTGTAGGCAAGTGTATGCTTGATGCTGTTTTCAGTTCTTGTTTGAACAAGGTCCGAAATCAAAGGACTTTTTGACCTTTGTGCATGTGTCTGTGTGTCTCCACCTGCATCTCAAACATGTCTTATCAGATCATATTCAAACTTCGCAAATACATCACATATCGTAGACAACATATTGACGTCTATTTGTTTCATGATCCAATTCAAGTTGGGTCAAATGGTGACCATTTTTGTGGTAAAAATTCATCAAAATCAAACATTTCTGCCATTCTGAAACCAGATCTCAGCATATATACATTGGATATTATGGGCTCTTGATGCACATCCGACCGTTGGCCATTTTGTTTTAATGAATGCTGTTCCAGAAAAATATCTGTATCTATCATCTTTTGTGTTTGTCTATTACTTGAATTGTCATGTGCACTGTCATGTGCACTGGTATATGTTAACCCTTAGAATGTCATTTCCAACTTTTAGCATCATATACTAATTGATTTTGTACAATTTACCCCTCCCCAATGAAATGTTGATAAAAATTGACAAACCTATCAATCAAAAACTAAAAGCGATATATGTCTGTCTGTATGGTCAAAAATGATGATGAATTGATGACAATTTAACAAAATTTGAAAACCTATGAATTTTGGGTGGGAAAAATATCTGCCACCAAAAGGGTTAACCTTTATACTGCGTGGTCTTTTTATTTTCATGAGATTTCACTGAGATCTTCATCACATCTCACATGCATTCTTCATCCATTGTAATTTTTTGTATTTAATGTTGACTTTACTGCAGTGCCAGGAATCATTGGTTGTATACAAGCATTGGAAACATTGAAAATTGCTTCAGGCATTGGTGGTATCCTTTATATTGCTATAATACAGAATACATCTATGATGCTGTCTATTATATCTATCTTATAGAGTTTTTGAAAGAAGCTGCAGTTCCAGCTATCTACCAATTTGATGCAGCACCTTGTTTTGAACAGAAGAACAATCACAAAAAATGATCTAATGAAGTTGTCAATATGGTGGAATTTGAATAATTATATATAGCGCCCTCAAGGTTCAAGTCATAAATATGTTCGTTTTTGAATAAAATGGCATAATATCATTTTAATTTGCATATTTTGACTATTTCTGTGTGGATTTGTCTCATTTGCATTTTTCCCAGTACAATATCAGATAATACTCAGTCTGATACCAGCATTCCTCAGGGTGTACCAACCTTAACACTTCCTATCAGCATCATACTGTCAGAAATTACTAGTTTTTGATGGAATTGATGGGACATTCAGAACCATTAAACTGAGATCAAAGAAAAAAAACTGTGTAGTATGCAGTGAGAATCCCACCATTACACAGCTGATAGATTATGAACAGTTCTGTGGTTCCAAAGCCACAGATAAGGTATGTTTAGCTACTATATACATGTATACATATCCCACTTACTATTTGGATGTTTTAAGATAAAAGCAGAGATGCTGGATTTTATGGAAACAATAGAAATTTCATAAAATCACTTTGTTGCAACATTACTATGAGCAAATCATCAGGTTATCTGGATCAGCTTCAATGTACAAAGAGTGTTGTATGTTTGTTGATTGAGCCACTGAGGAATGTGACTCATTGGTAAATTTAATGGTTAAAGAGTCTTCCAAACCACCAAAAGGAATCTATCAAGAGACCTCCAAGATTCCTATGATGTTGGAATAAATTTGCATGGTTAATAAGATATAACAATCTTTGATACTAGGCGGTTACTTACCATGAAATGCAGGTACCAAGAATATTAATATATAATGTACAATATATATGACTTTTGTTACAGAGCAAGACTGTGAAATTGTTGTCCAATGAGAATAGAATATCTGTGGAGAATTATGCAAATATTGTGAAAGAAAAACACTATCATGTTTTAGTTGATGTCAGGACACCATGTGAAATGGATATATGTCAGCTTCCAAATACCATTAGTATCCTTTTATTTAATAGTTCCTTAGTGTTTTTCACATTTCAATATAGTTTCTCAACATTTTTCGTCAATTTTTAAACCAAATGAATATAATTTTTAAAAAATTACATGGTATTTTATTTTGTGAAAGTTGACTTTGATGTTGAAAGGGTTGAAGGTTATTGTGATTTTGAAAGTCATTTTGTAATATCAAATCTGTTAATGAATTGTTCATTATTCGTCAAATGGCATAAAAGCTCCAGATTTCTAAAAACTTTTCTCCCAATAATGAAGGTTGCTGTGTAATTACAAAAGAAGTAATAGTTAATAATAAACGAAATAAATTAGGTACTTAAATTAAATCACTGAAGATGAACATAAGTGGTGTTCTCACTAGACAAAATAAGCCGTTGTCACAACGCCTTTTATTTGAGAACGTTGTTAAAAAGTGTGTGAACAGAATACGCCGTTGTGGCGTCGGTGTTTTTGACACTGACGTGAAAGGGGGTGGACCAGATCCTAAACGCCATTGTCACACCAGCTCTTGCACAATGGAACACAATATAACGGCCAAAAGCCCTCTATCGCCGACTTATTTATGCTTGGCATTAAACAAGATGGTGTCAGAGGTTACAAGTCGAATTTTTTAGCCAATCTGTTATCCCACGTTCGTAACACTATTTCTTCCCACCAGTTATTTCTGCGTTGTCGAGTCCAAATCGCTCGGGTTGCTGGATCTATTGTTGCGTTATTCATACACTCGAATAGCATAAACATGAACCGATCATTTCTCAGTCTTGTTCGACCTAACAAGTTGGCAATTTCTTGCTCTTCGAAATCCTGATTAATCGATCGTCGTACGCTTCTTCTCGAGCGTAAAAGCACACGAAAAAACAGAAACAAAGCAAATGCATTTACCAGAGGGGACGCCATTTTGTCGATTAACCTTTCCATTTGTTTATTGACCTTTCCGTGATATGATTTGTTGAGGGCACAAAACACCAGTGTTTTTACTAAGTGAGAACACAAGAAGACAATTCAGCAGATTAGCTAATATTTGCACAACAAAAAAACAGTGTCAACACCGGCATTTTTTAGACGTGTGAGAACGTAGCTACATTCACAGTGAATAAAACAATAAATTGATGACTGTGTTTCTTGACAAATTAAAACTAGATATACCAATTACTGAGGTTGGTAAAAACAATGATAACATGCATAAGTTGAAAACTGCCATTGATAAACTCACTGATCAAGTTCAAACAGTGCCTGGTGAGTATCTGTTTAAAATTTTAACTGCTATCACAGGACTCAAATCAAATCAAATCTGTGAGAATTATAGATGAACGCAGTTACAATGCATGGCATGTGAATATGAAGCTACATCAAAATGCTTTCTGAAAGTGGCTATTAAAAATGCATCATGCTAATATTAAATTACTAATTATGTTCATATTATTACAGTGTATGTGGTATGTAGACTTGGCAATGATTCACAGTCCGCTGTTCAGATTTTACAAGAGATGTTATCTGATTTACCAGTCACAATCAAAGACATTCGTGGAGGACTCGTGCAGTGGGCTAAGAAGATTGATCCAGAATTCCCACAGTATTAATTAAAATAAGCCCACATATTCAGATTGTGTATTGGAATTCACCAAAGTGTACCACTTTGATGCCTAACCTGAATGAATTATGGCACCCTCAAAATAGAATACAAAAACAAAATGAAAGTCATATTTATAAGTTGTCGTTTATTTATTTTTCTTCTAATTAGATATAAAAAAGACATATTTTGTGAAAAATTTGTTTTCAATCATCAGTATATTTTTCTATTTACGATATACTAATACCTGCATATGTGTGTTAGCGGTTTTGATTTTTAATCTAAGTTATGGTAAATCATAGATGATTATGATCATATTGCATCTTTAAAGTACACCCTCTGGCAATTTTACTTTCCACCATTTTGTTTCCAAAGGCATGTTACATCATTCATCCCTTCATAAGATAATGTAAGAACTTGTTATATTTTAATTATCTCGCATGTTCAGGGTCTTTTCGAACTACATGGCAAGTTTGCGTATTTTCAATACAATTTTTTCAAAATTTCTGAGCTTAAAGGTTGGTAGTCATGTACATTGTTTATGCAAAATTCGAACAGACACTGCATGACAACCACCACCAATTTGTGCAGCAGAAGCCACAGACCGAGGGCAGTAAATACTGTATCCAGTCCATAAGGGTTTTATCATGTACCTTATAGGTGTAATTACAATTTTACCGCAATGTGACTTCAAACACCCAACGTAATTTTTGAATGACACGTTTTGTTTTTAATGATGAAAGCCATGCATGCTGGGCCGGGCGTGACACAGAAAAAATTTTCCCTGAGGTGAGGGTGCCCTTCCTATAGCGTTGTGAGGCTGAGCACTGGATTTTATTTTTGCCGTTTTGCTAAAAGTATGCCTGAATGCTTTGATACTTGGTGTATATGTACCTTGGGTAGACCTCTCTCAGATTTGTTCATTTCATGATGATATCTTCAATTCTCCAATTTTGGTGAATATTTTTGATATTTTCGACTTCCTGTTAAAAACCGCAAGTCCAATTGCTTTGACATTACATATATAGGTACTACATGTGGTCCTCTCTCAGATTTGTTCATTTCATGATGATATCTTTAATTCTCTAATTTTAGTGAATATTTTTTTAATTTTTGGTAAAAAGTAATATTTTTGACTTCTTGTTGAAAACTGCAAGTCTGATTGCTTTTATATTACATATATAGGTACTACATGTGGACCTCTTTCAGATTTCATGGTGATATCTTCAATTATCTTATTTTGATGATTGTTTTTGGTGAAAAGTGATATTTTTGAATTCTTGTTGAAAACAGCAAGTCCTGTTGCTTTGATACTATACCACATATTGTTCATTTTCTAATGATATCTTCAGTTCTTTAAATGTAATGTGCATTGCTAACAGCTTCTTGTTTAACCAGATAATCTTAATATTATAATTCAAATTTCCTCAGCACTCAGTATTACATCTTTGATAACACTTTGACCGGCAACATTTTGTGAGTTACAAATCTTTGTGCACCGAAACATCTTCTGAAACAGAAAACAACATTTCCCCCATTCTACCATATAAGGTGCACTATACCACTGCAAAATTGCACACACAAAAAAGACTCGCGCAATGAGAAACAAAACCTTTTTTTTTTATTTTGGTCTTAGATATCTGTAGATATCACCTAATTGTGACCAATTAAACTACTGGATATGCACTGCTTTGTTTTTGTACAAATGATGGTTGCCCGGTTCACTTTTGTGGATACATGTACTCAGATAGTCTGCATTGATTTATATCGCTTAATTTGCATGACAAATGACAGTTGGTTAAGATTCAAAGAATGTAAGATTTATGAGAGTAATAATATGTACTGTGTCTGCAGTTTTAAAATAGAAACCGTTAGCATTGTTACTTTCTGTGCATGACAATTTGTATAGCTGATGATTCATTTTCTCGTGCTGGCATTTGTCACCTGTATACAGAGTTCATCAAATAGTTCATTAACCCCTTGAGTCAACTTTTGTGATTATTCATAATTTTAAACCCATATAATTTATTCATAATTTTACCAAAATTTTGATCAAGACATGAAATAATTTTGTCAATTTGGTCTAAAATTATCAAAAAAATTATAGAAGAATGCATAAAAACAGACAAAATATTTTTCCTGGGAAAAAATTATGATTAAATATTGCAATGGAGTTTGGTCATTTCCTTATTGGGGGGGGGGGGTAGATGAATCAAATTTGATTTGTTTCCCCTCTAACATGCATGGTCTGTCCCTAAATCCATTGAAGCATAACAATTCAATTATATGGAACACTTGTATTTTCAGGTAACACCTATAATTTGAGAGCTTGTGTTTCGATGAATTTCACTAGATTTTTTTTTTAGTTGATTTCCATCTCTCCAGTAAAATTGAATTCCAAAATTGAATCTGCAGCGTAGATTATTAAAACTAAAATACTAATAGCAGGATTATGATTGAATCTACTGTCCTGATTTAGCCAATAAATCTTTAAGGTTGAATGCATTGTCTGGGGACAAAAGTGTAGAGGAATCCTAAGCATATCACAAGATGTGACTCCAACATCCATTAAGAGGTCAATATATCAGTTTTGATACTTTTCTTGAATGCACCCAGCCAAGACTGCAAGAGTAGAAGGTTAAGTTCACCAGAACAGCCACAGATTATCCGCTATTACCCCGGTATTATTATTAAAGTGACAATAGCTGTGATTTTGAACTATACATAAATATAACCTAATCTTACCAAAATATTGTTTTAAAAAATTGCATGGATAAAGTCATGGAACACAAGGCTAATATCACATGAAATGTGATGCAGTGTGAAAACTGTAGTCTCCATTTTCGTTGAGATTGGTCATTAAAGACTATCATAGAAAATTATGATGTACACTATTGTGGAAATTGGCATATAAACCACTATTGAGCGGTCAACAGAGAGACTTAGCCTCTCAAAGTGCAATGTATTTGACATTTCGTCCAGGGTACCCAGTACGTTGTCATCCTGTAAGGTAATCCCAGACGTTCACTTGACAAAACTGGATTTCAATAGATGGCACCCTCTAGAGAACTGGACGCAAAAACGGGCCATCTTTTTTCACTTTGCAAGTGATTCAATGTGCAACGTCTTATAAAAAATCCCCCCTTTTTTTTATTGTGTGATTATATCCAAGACCTACTCTCTACTACTACCTAATATTTTATTGGACTGTGTGCCATCAACACAACTGACAAGTTTCATGGTCCTTGATAAAAAAAAAGTTTTATCAAAAACAAAACGGCCACCAGTCTTATTGCAGAGTTCAACCAAATGATGTGCAATGTAATTGTACAAAGCTTTAATGAAATCATTGAAAGGAGAGGATGCTGTTGACTTTCTTCACACTCAACTCTTAATAAATTAGTATGCAAGAAAATCATTGATTGATGTGTAACTATCAATCCTTTGTCCAATTATCTCGTTAGTTTTAATCTCATTATGGATTAAACCTATAAAATGCACTGTATCTGTGATAATTACCTTCAACATGTGACATGCATGGTTTCATTTCATAGTTCGCAGTGCTCAGAAAACTACTTTAACAACGCTATGTATATTTAGAACAGACTAAAATTTTACACACATAATCAGAGATGGGAAGAGCAGGTTATTACAAGGCGAAAACCAAATTGAAAATTTTTTTTATTTTTCCTTTTTATAAATGTTGATTGAAATTCTTAAAATCTTTCAATGGTCCACCTGTTTTGTATTCATATATCCAGTTACACCTCTTACAATTAGCTTGTTTGATGATTCCCAGTATCAGTAATATAGCATGCATTAGCACGTGTATTTCACTGATCTGCTCACTCTATGGAGGTAACGTGTGCATTATTGAAGACGTCAACTTCCTAATCTGAGCTTACCACATTATTATTAAACATACACAAGTATTTACGTAGGACTCTAAGACAATCTGTCTGAGACAGTGTTTGCAGATAAAATTGATGGTTTTGTCTCTATCGCGGTTACTAGTAATCATGTCTCTATTAAAAAGACAAATTATGTTCAGGGTTGTGGACTTCAGGTACTTTGAGGTAATGGATTGTTTACCCAGCATGCACTTGAACTATATACTATACCTCCTAGCACATCACTGTTTATTATTCACATAACCTGCACTTTTTTTTTAAATGAAATCAGTAACAGCTCAACATAAACAATTTAAAAACACTGTTCGCAGATACTTGTGAGGAAGCTACAGACATTTATTGCCCATTTCCTTGTGGACAAACAATTGTACACAGAGATGTACAGCTAGAAATGACATGCTCTTTATATATGCTGAAAGGAAATATTGATAAATTATTTTTGACAAGGAAATTTAATTTTGTTGAATTTAAATATGGATGTCGTACATTGAAATGTAATTACGCATGTAATCAATAAACTAGGACTGGAAATGCTATAATTCTTACAAGAATAAACTCTCTATAAATAAAGCACCACATTTGTCACACCATGTACATAAACGAGTGTAAACTACAAAAGACAAATTTTGAAGGAATTGTATAGCAGTAAACATTTTAATGGCGTCTTCAGGACAGTGTGTCGCAGCGACTTTTACTAAATTCTTGTGAAAATCGTGCATATTTAAAGCAGCGACATGCAAATCTTTACATGACTGGTTATTTGAAATTTGACAAATTCGTGAGAAAGACAAGTCACAAGGGTTAAACCCTGTGTGTTTTTGGTAGTAATCACTGAACAGTTTTACAATTTTGTCCTTGAAACCTAATTCTATTCTCGCAAGATTGAGACAGAGGATATAATGAAAAATCTAAATTATACTATGTGATTGGAATGAAAAGATACGATACATTTTGACTTTTCAATACAATACCTATTTAACAAATGTACGATTCTATCTTAACAGAAGTATTGAACAATTACTAGAACATAACTGTTTTACCGTTCTCGCCATATTTTTCATACACCAACACTGCCAGCTAACTAGTTTGCTACGCACGTCTGAGGTGAAATGTGTAATATAAAGAGAGAGTGAGAGAAGAACTTTTCATCACCTTCGAAATGAACAAGACAGAGCTAAAGTACAAAAGATCACAACAACTTTAATTAGAATTGACCGTGGCCCGATAAGTGAGTGAATCATGTACGTTTTATTTAATTTTTTTGGAAAACTGTCTTATGTGTACAGTAATTATACAAATGGATGAAATACATTGGAAGAGAAATGTATCTTTATTGATATTATATAAGTAAGTCAGTAAGTTAGCTGGCAATGTTCCCGTATATAGCAGTTACAGTCTATAGTAGACTTGCATACAGTCTTTTGTTTAATTTATTTTTTCAATAAAATAAAATGCCATGGGAGTGTGTAAATGGCGAAAACCGGGTTACCGCAAAAGTCAGGTTTTTGCCATTTATACACTCCCATATTTTATTTTATTGAAAAAAAAACTAAACTAAACAAATAAACAAAAAACTGTATGCAAGTCTATATACCGGTACTGGTGGTAGAAGAATTTCTAGTGTCAGTGCTGACAACAGTCTACCAATATGTTTATGATAATCAAGAATTACTACAGACAAGTCAGCTCTATATTCTCACATGGTTAGAATAACAAATTAAATACACATTCTATGACAGCATAAACCACCAATACTTACATCATTTCTGCTTCTTATTTCAAAATTATAGAAAAGATAAGAATTTTTTATAAAAAAAAGAATAAGATTTACATTACTTTTTCTAACCTTACAAATATTTTTATTGTAGATATAATAGTACATGTACCTACTTCATAGAGAATTAACTGATGTATATATTATACATTATATATTAAAAACAAGAGATGGACCACAGATTTTTTGGAGGGACTGATTTACATAATTGCTAATCACCACAATCATGAATAGAATTCATAACATACTAGTACAGACGACATTCATAAATGCCAATGTATTAAAGTAAAATTCCATTTTTACTGTCACTCATCAATAATTCACTTGCTACAAATGAGTCATTTCGTAGTACAGGTATGCATGTCAGGTTGAATATAACCAAATGCACCTCTATTGAATCAATAGTCAGAGATTGTGCCAGCATTTACTAGTGGTGTAACTCAAAGTGTACAGAAATTCATCCTCTATGACCTTATTACAGATGGGTCCCCTTCACATGCTGCAAATGCAAACCCCGTGTTATAATAATTGTGCTGAAACAAATAATTGCACTACTGCATTGCAAGAAGTAATATACTCTGTTATCTTTGCTTGAATGTCTATCTGCCTCTTGCAGCCACTCAAAATAACCACCTACATACTTAATTACTGAATTTTAATTTAGTCTAAGGTGTTTTGAAATGTTGTGCCCTGTATCTTGAGCAGTTTTCTCTACACAAATAATGACAAATATTATTTTATGTCATGTGGATTTTTATAAGAATTATACATCACATGAATATGCAGCATGTAAATTATTATGAGAAAAAAGTGAAATAAATAACATGCACTTTAAAAAAGTTTACACAGCAATCATGTTGTAGTACATAAACATTTTTTGACAATTTATGTGAATATAAAATTATTTATTTTAACTTGTTTATAAAATAGTTTTGCCCTTGCATCGTAGCTCCTTTGCGGTGCCAACTAACACCTCCATACATTCATACAATTCCCTGTGCTGTATGTCTTGGGCACACATCACAACTGCAGCGTAGAGACATACATCACAAATATACAATGATAAAAAATATATAGATCAGTAGATATTTACATTATTGCCCAAATTGTCATTCAAAATAACTTTTCCAATTATCTATTCTGCTCATTGAATAAGACAAGCTTGTGACTGGTCTCCATGGTGACTGCTAGCTTTAGCAAAACAGATGGCCTGCATCCACTCCTGTTGGTCGGCTTCACTGTCGGCATGTATATAGTGAATTCTACTACTGTCTTTTGGTTTAAGTTGGAACACAAATGGTTTTTTGTCTATGTGAGCTTCAGATATCTCTGTACCATCCAAAGAGATGAACTTGTGTGAATTCTGCAAAGAGAAAGGAGAAAAACATGATATGGAACATTATGAGAATCACACGAGCTAAAATAGAAGCTCTGTGAATGTATGGAATAAGACATGAGTGTGCACATGTTTTCACCCATTCCATGGAAACATGCATGAACACTTAGTATGGGCTAAGAAATGATAAACACAAGCTAAATCCAGCCTGTATTAACTGGTCTAGACCCTTAGCACGGGCTAACAAAGTATGCACGAACACTTAGCTGTGGCTAAGCGCTCAAATCCCCATTGTACTCAATGTCCATTTGACAGGTTTACTCTTATATTCATCACTTCTTTTCAGTATGCCATTTGCAACATGAACATGAAAACCAACGAGAGCACATCCAGAAACATTATTCTTGATAAGAAAATAGACTGATGACACTATTCATTTACTCTACATTTTCTGAATTTGCATTGTTTTTAACCATAGAACTAACACTGAGTATGGAAGGTACTAACTAACCGCCAGTACCTTTCATGCACTGAGTAAGCATAATTTAAAGGACTGAAAATTTGTATATTCTTAACAAGTTTGGGTGTTCCTTAGGCTGTGCTAACCACTGTTTCCTCTCGATGTGTGTGAACGTAATGGGGTGTAGCTAATATGCAAACATATGAAATCAACTTAAATCTTAGCCGGTACTTGGTGTAGCCTAAACACAACTGATACATGTATATGTAATTCAGTATGACATCTAAAACCTACAGGCTATATATACACTACATGTATGTACACATAGCTGTTAAATGAAATCAAGACACCCAGTCACAAGATTCTAATTCAAACTCAAGCATTTTGTTTGACATTCCGTTACTGTCTACATATCAATGCCTTTAGTAGACTGATTGGCAGTGTTATAGAGTCCCCAGGCTGTAATTTGTACATTTCACAGTACTTCCTAATTGGAAGTCATTATTGAGGAAATCACATAATTGCCACTTTTGTAACCCACAGCATTTCAGTCAATGAATAAGTTCCTGAAAACTGCAGATAATGCCACTCAGAGAAATAAAATATTTAAAAAAAACAAACATACCGGGTAATTAATTCAGTAGCACAGCGTACGTTGACTAACAATTAAACCACACAAGTGACCTGAAAAAATGGCTCTGATATTTTGTGGGGATTAAATGAATGCACAACAAAACTGAACATGATATTACATGTATTTGAGCATGGAACTATATATTATGGTCTCTATTGGTGAATAATATTTATATAGCTCAGGATATTTGTGAGCAAAATAATTCATTTGACTATAGCTACTTTTAATCAATATTAAAAGTTATACAATTATTTATCACATGTATTATATTATCAATGGCAGTTACTATGGACATAGTCCTGGTTTCTTTGGTCACACCCAATAGGTCAGATCACTAGGGACACACTCACAGGGAAGTAGTCCAAAAATTGGTTCATACATGTATATATTGGAATGATGTTTTAAGAAATTTGAACAATTAGACAATTATTATGCAAACTGAGTAATTAATACATAATAAATATGAACTTGAGCCTGAAACTAATCATGTCTGTTATGGATTATTCCTACATGTATGTACTGGTAATAAATTACATGTACCGGTACATTGAAATGTATTAACTAAAAGCCAAACAACAAACATCCTAATGCACTCACTGAAAAATGCAGCTAGCAGCGATTAAGGTTCACTGACTAAACCAGTACCTTCATTTATTTTCTAAACATTTTCAGTGACTATATTCCATCTCAAATAGAGTTGGCATTTTAGATGTAAAAGGGATTACAAACAAACAGTTAATCATTGATTGATTTCGTCTCACGATCACAGTGTTCAGAAACCACGCCTCGGTCAACGAGAACAGTCAATTCAATACAATACACAAAATTGGGTTTTAACAATAGCATTTTACAACCCTGAAAATGTGTAATCCTGTTTATGATATGTGCTCTACCAATTAAAAAAAATCTTTTCATGCCAGGATCGGATAAATGAGACTCAGAAAAAAAAGCAAGACCCACGACTGCATCATGTACTTCTAAAATCCAACAAATTTATGGTTCATAAAATAAGTGTTATTATTGTTTATTGATCCATGGTGTATAACCGATATCAAATATTACGTGCTTGGATGTCTAATTCAAACACATATGAGAAGTAAATCACAGAAATCTTATGTTAAGGAAATAAATATTTATTAACATTAACTGTGTTTTCTGAATTCATAACATCATGCTGTGTCCCCGGACAGTTTAAATAGGTCATTCTGCATAAGTACCTCAGTCTTCACCATGAAACACAAGATGAAAAAAACAATCCAATACATGTAAAGAATCATAGAGGATTGAGAATCAGAATTCCAAGAGCTTATACTGAACTGCAAAATGTTTCGCTTTATCATAGCATTTCAAGCTTTACTCTGCACATGTCACTATCTTTATTTGATGCAAAATCTTGAAACAAATTTACTCTCCTGCATATACGTTTTATATAATATTTTTAAAATTTAGGACAAGCCTTATTATTCACCATGACAGAACAACACAAGAATCATAACTCTGTCTGATGAATGTAAGTACGTGTACAACTGAGGCATGGTATTAGCAAGGAATTTGAAAGTGCCTGTCAGAAATATGCTGAAAGAATGATTACAAGGATTATATTTGACAAAATTGTTGAAGAACACAGGCACAGTCCCCATTAGTTATCAAATTTAAGATATATAGTTTTGTTTATAGTAATATAGCTGGAATATAAACATGACAGGAATATATTATGATGATTGTTTAACATTTAAATGATTGACATTTGTATCTGTTCGTCAAACTAGTATTGAGAGATATTGCTCTGGAACAGCATTAATTAAAACAAAATCAACCATTTTGAATACATGTATAATGAATATATAAATTTGAACATAGTCAGTCAAAGCATGTCAGAGATATGGCTCTAGAAGCCCATTCATTAAAACAAAATTGGCTGCTAGTCAGCCATTCTGAGTCTGATCTAAAAAATAAAATATAATAACATGCAGAAACAGGAACCCGTTATGTCTAATGTATGTACCAAATTTGAACAAAATCCATCCAGAAATGCCAGAAATGTTTGATATTTGATGATTTGTTAACACAAAAATGGCCACCATTTGACCATTTTTAATAGAATCGTCAAACCAATATATTTGTACATCTATGACATGATGTATAATGAATATTTAAAATTTGAACATAATCAGTCACAGCATGTCAGAGATATGGCACTAGAACCACATTTATCAAAACAAAATGGCTGCCAGTCGGCCATTTTGAATCTCATCTGAAAACAAAATGATGTGCATCAAGTTCCTATAATGTCCAACGTATATACCAAGTTTGAACAAAATCCATCTGTACAGCCGAGAATGCTCGATTTTGACAAAAATGGCCATCTTGAATCAGATTGTGAAACAAATTGATGTGCATATGTATGATATCATGTATGATGCATGTGTGAAGTGTGATTGGTCCAGGCATTTCTGAGATACAGGTCCGGATGCACGGAGGTCAAAACATAAGTCCCCGTTTTCGGACTGCGTCCGAACGGGGACTAAAAAAATAATGAACTGCCCATCAAGGCAGACAAGTTGCTAGCTGGTACACTGAATTCAAGTACCAAATGCATTGCACAAGTTGTTTTTATATTAAACCTCTGTTACCCGTGCCATCAGTGTCACTAGTGAAGCATTTCCCATCCAATTATTCAATGTCCATAACAGTTTTAAATTGTTTTTCCAATTTTCAATTAGAAATAACAAAAATCTTTCAACTCAGACTGGACTTGGAGTCAGTTGCTGTCAGTACAAAGATTGATTTCTGTGAAAGCAGCATCCCAGTAGTACTCCAAAATACAAAAAAAGTATTACATGCACTCTGTGTCTTGTGTCTGTTATCAGGTTTTCCAGTCCTAAAAAATATCACAGAAAGATCTACAATTAATTTAATGTCAGTAAACTAAAGAATATCTGGGCTTGAATAAGCAAAGACAAAAAGCAACTTAAAAAAATTCAAAAGAAATTCTAATATATCTGTATCACCAGGTCCCTTGAATGCTACATCGAATATGGTATATACTATTTTGGAATTGTACAAATGCCAACAAAACAGTGTTCTTGGTGTTCATCAAAAAAGCTTTTCTTTCCTTTCAGTGCATTCCCTTTCATATTAGTTATTACCGGGTAATGTTAATATCTGAAATCCTGATCACCACTTTTAGTTTCCATTGATAGACATCTTCTAACATGTATTCTCTTCACAACAAAGACCTTCCCTTTATCTTTATAAATTTCAAAATTCAAACTGAAACGAGAGGCTTCTATTGCCAAAGGAATAACATCAGTATGTTTTCAAATGACGTTGTTGTAACACTGTGCCTGTTGATTGGCTGGTTGGCTTTTAAATGCCACAGAAATTTATAAATATTTATGAAGATAAAGAAATGCCTATGTTGCACAAAGAATATCAAAGTGAAGTTATAAAATACAAAAGTCATAACGAGGGGTATTGCAATGCTCCAAGGGAGATTTGTAGGAAGATAGCGGTTTTTATGATTCGGACACACTCTGTATTTGTTCATAATTCTCATTCCAAATCAGAATTTTTTTTTTCAGAACTCAAAGATTAATTGAAGAATAGATTGGTATTAATTTACAATCATGTCATGGAGACTGTATAGAATAACCTCCATGGTCATGATATAGCGACTGGACGAGGTCACATCAACATAGACAATTTACTAACATATCTATGCATCAAGCGAGTACCTGGTGAAACTGATAACTAAACAAGTTGGCTTTGCCATCTGCTCCAAAAAAACACATTTCGAACATGTAATAGGTACTTAAAATCATCAGACAATAGTTAAAGTTGATACCGGTATATAAACTACAGTATCAGTACAAAGTCGAACCAACATAGGTTATTGCGAGTACAAATCAGTGAGCAGTTCACAAACACTGGTCAATGCTCAGATTGGTTTATTGCTTGGCACGGCTTGACCAGCGACGAATGTGAACATAATGTGTCTATGCCTATATTTTACATCGCAATTAACTCAAATAAATTATGTTCTCTAATCGCAATTACTCTCAAAAGCTAACATTTTTCTTACAAACGACTAAACTCACCTCTAAATCACCATCTCTGATCAGTTTCTCAGCAGGCTATTTAAGACCATAATTTGCCATCTTGAAACACGATGAATGGCGCATGCTCCAGTCAAACAATTTTGTTTATAATACACTCTGTGATTCATGGAAAACTAGTCATGTTGCACAAGATTTCCATATGCCTTGAATCAGATGCAGTTAAAGTGACCAAGATACGATATAAAAAATACATAATAACCGCAAGGAAAACAAAAAAAAATAGTACAATACCACAAAAAATTGGATTTTAATTAGATTGCTTAAACACAACAATTCCAATTGTTGTCATTTCCACAAAGGAGCAATGATGAATAGTTATTAATTTAATATAATGAAATTTCATTGATCATCTGATTCAGAGTTCCGATTTCAAGGTGAAAACTGGGTCATAAAAGTCAGTGTTCTAGTTCAACCTTTAGACTACTATAAATCACACTGGAATGAAATAACACACACAATCAAACAAATTAGTATTTGGTAAACCATGCTCACAAAGAGATAATAATAAATAATGTGAATAATAGTGCAGGTCATTGTAATATTTACCATGATTGCATATACATGTAACATGATTAATTATTATGGTCCAAGTACAAACAGATACATACATTCTCTGGATTAACGTATGTTATACCTAAGTATTAGTATAACATTGGTTGTTCATTTTTATCAAAGGATCTAGTGATAAACATATCAAAATCAAATAATCCTACTTTATACACCCTAGAAGTATACTGTATTTATTGTACGATAATAACCTAGTTAAACCATATGTACTGGTACACTATAAAAAAGCAAATATATTATTGAATAGAAATCAACACTAAATATTTCAAAACAGAATCTCTACTGGATAATTAATAATATAACAGTAGAATATACGAGTATAGTAAGAATATTAGCTATTTTAACAATCAGTTGTATAATTATAAATTATATCATGAACCATCAAGTAGATGAGTAAGTTTCTAAGGACACCACAGTTTTTTTATACAAGATTCTGGTTATTTATAGGAGTGGGGTAGGGTGGGGTTGGGTTTGTTCCTAGCATGCAGCATTTAAACTAACCAATGATAGGGGATTATCTTACATCACTTCGCTGTACACGATAGAAAATACATCACAAAGAGTACAGAAAAAAATCCATGTTGCTAAATGCACTGAGCTGTCCCAACCATAAACTGGAAACATGTCTAGTATAAGAAATGAGCCAAGTACTGTTCTAATTTCCTACTTACGCCAAATGCAAGGCTATTGAGTTTCTATATTCCACTGTGCTAGCAAAATGTCAATAAAAATGTAATCTCCAGCATCTATGGATGTCACTATCACAAACATGGGAATGGAACGTCATGTAATTATGGCTGACATGGAGGACAAGTCTCATAGTGAACTGAATCAGCAGCACAACACTATTAAAATTAGAATTAGTTACATCTTACATAGAAACATATTTTAGCAAAATTAGCTCAAATAACTTGCTATTTGATAATGCATAGCAGGAGATACATGATATTACTGGATGACATAAATAAAATCTTTGTGAATCAACTGTCGCAACACAGTTCAAAAACTTAACATGAAGACTCTAAATACATGTTCCTGTAAACTTGCAAGAGGCATATGTTTTTATGACAAGGAAAATTTAATCACTAAGGACTCATTGTAATTACCAACATGTCACTGTGTGATTTTCGCCAAAATTTCTTTTCACTAACTAAATTATCAAATAACAAAAATGTAATGCTTTTATTACAGTAATTTAACAAGATGCAATGAAGACAACCATGCTGCTGTTTAATTTGGCTAAGAATTTACATTGCCGCTAATTTGTTGTTTTATTTTCAAACTACAGAGAGTAGCACAATCATCTAATTTGCATACCCTGACAAACATAGAAAAAGGATAAAAAAGAAACCAATACAATCTCAAAATTGGTTGGCACACTGATGAAACCGTTTTTCATTCTTGCAAAGGAAAATGATTACATGTATGCCTGAAACTATGGTTACCAAAGAGAAATTATCATACATGCAGCATTTATATATATGTGGAATGATGCCCTATTTAGTGACTCAGTGTTTAAACAGCTCATTTATATGTGATCACACTGCACAAGCAATATTCACAATACTCATAGAAATAGAAAGTCACATAATGATTGAAGAGAGGGACAAATACGTGATATCAAGTACAGCAGGAGTGAGATTTTTTTTACATTTTGATTTAGGGTTGCCTATTTGAAACAGTAAGGTTCCTTATCCACATGTAGCTGACAAGCCCACCCCTCTGTTTTCAAATGGGGGACTTTTTATCAATATGGTATAAATACCGGGTATGCAGTGCATATGCACTAACCTATCGTGTATACAGTGCATATGCACTAATCTATCGTGTATGCAGTGTATATGCACTAATCTATCGTGTATGCAGTGTATATGCACTAATATATCGTGTATGCAGTGCATATGCACTAACCTATCATGTATGCAGTGTATATGCACTAACCTATCATGTATGCAGTGAATATGCACTAATATATCGTGTATGCAGTGTATATGCACTAATCTATCCTAATCTATCGTGTATACAGTGTATATGCACTAACCTATCGTGTATACAGTGCATATGCACTAACCTATCGTGTATACAGTGTATATGCACTAACCTATCGTGTATACAGTGTATATGCACTAACCTATCGTGTATGCAGTGTATATGCACTAACCTATCGTGTATGCAGTGCATATGCACTAATCTATCGTGTATACAGTGTATATGCACTAACCTATCATGTATACAGTGTAGGTATATGCACTAACCTATCGTGTATGCAGTGCATATGCACTAATCTATCGTGTATACAGTGTATATACACTAACCCATCGTGTATACCGTGTATATGCACTAACCTATCGTGTATACAGTGCATATGCACTAACCTATCGTGTATGCAGTGCATATGCACTAACCTATTGTGTATATGCACTAACCTATCATGTATGCAGTGTATATGCACTAACCTATTGTGTATGCAGTGCATATGCACTAACCTATCGTGTATGCAGTGTATATGCACTAACCTATCTTGTATGCAGTGTATATGCACTAATATATCGTGTATGCACTGTATATGCACTAACCTATCGTGTATGCAGTGTATATGCACTAATATATCGTGTATGCAGTGTATATGCACTAACCTATCGTGTATGCAGTGTATATGCACTAATATATCGTGTATGCAGTGTATATGCACTACCCTATCGTGTATGCAGTGTACATGCACTAACCTATCATGTATGACCTGTATATGAACTATTGTATTCTGTAATGCAGTATTCTATGCAGATCTGACAAACTATAAGTCAAATTACTACTCAATATACATAAATGTTTTCAAAACATATCATGCTCAATAGATTAAATTTAATTTGTTAAACTGATTGTATTGTCTACAAGCAGCAGATTTCCGTCATACGACATAAAAAGACACATACGTTGTAGACGACAGGGCAATGATTCGAATTTGTAGTCAAGTACTCCACTACGACCTCCTGTGACAGCGACGTGACCAAACCCACAACCAGCGAAACAGTACTCGTAGTTATTAAAGTGTATCTAGTCCCCGTTGTCGTGGTCCAGCTAAACGGTAGCGAAAAGTTAAATTCAGTGTGGGTTACAGTATCCCTGCCATGACAATTGTGTTGACATAGGATACAAACATCAACACTGTGACGCCACTTACGTTTTCCGTTTCTCCGTAATATAATTGTGTTTTCTTCAGGCAAAACCACTGCCGTTTCCATTTATGCGTAAGTCTCGTCCTCTTCGTCAGCCATCCTGTCTTACAATGATCCTGTTCTTCCTGTGGCTCGTCTGTACCACTGTTGTCCCCGTTTACCGCCGGGTTTTCGCTGTTTTCCACGGGAGAAGATTGACTCTCCTCTCTTCGTTCCTGTTCCGCCATCTTGATTGAGGGCTGTCCTGGGGCACAGTTGTTTGTTTGTTGTTTGTTCTTTTGTTTACATTACATACGCTGTATAATTGGCACTGATGGAGTCCCAGGTGCCATATTACACTGTAAAGTGAAGTCGTTTTTGTTTTGTTTTGTTTGTTTTTTTTCGTTTCCACTGTTATACAAACAGTAACATACAATTATTATGTTATTCTATAAAATGTTCGATGTACCTTGGTTGGACCATGGAGCTCCATGGTTGGACCTGATGGGACGTCAATACTAGTACTTGCCTCACACATTTTTTTCATGTTTCGATCTCGCACTGCAGCAACAAAATCGAGAAGTCGTGAAAAAGTGGTGTGTACCATTGTGTAGACGCAGTGTAACGATTATCACACAAAAATTATATTTCCTGGCAAAGTTTGGCGTGATTGCGTTGAAATTCAAGTTGGTTGTTGGAATTGTGAGAATTATGGTTGCTATAGTACTACTACTATCGTAGTCTGAGAATTCACGTTTCCAAATCGAGACCATGACCCTTCATTTTCATATACATGTATATGCATTTTTTTAATTTAATATGTTCCCATGGATTCTCTATCTAATTTCCCTGATTTACTCCTTCAAAAAATACACAAACACTAGTGTAAAATAGTGTACATTATTTATATATTCAATATTTTTATGTATTTCAAGTACTATGCTCATTTTAGCACAAGTTCAATGCAACTGGGTAGAATAGGATTAGGAATAAAATCATAGAATTTGAAACTATAATATTGTGTCCAAAAAAAAATATTGCCCAAGGATGCTTAGTTATGTAATAATAATAATTATCTTTATTGTGTTCGTATCCCTGTTAGGATTTTGAATAAAATGCAATACTTATGTGAGAAGGGACAAACAAACAATTAAAGTGAGAATAAAAATACACACAAGAAAAGAAAAAAATTACAAGCATATAAAAGCCAAGGACAGTTTAGTCGACCATCGTTTCACCTACATCTGTTCCTCGGAAACGAGTGATTTTGACGATGTCAAATATAAAACTCGGATACAGTCCGGCGAGCCGATTGCTACGTCCCAGTTAATTTCATTGGCATTTAAAATTTCCTTATTTTGATGTTTGAGCTCTAAGTTCTATTGTTATTTTACATGTTCTTGTGTATATTACTAGTACTGAAATCAGTGAAAATAGCGGAATTAATAGCGTCTTGAATTTTCAAGGTGAATGTTCTGGCAAGGCAAGGCAAAGCAAAGTAAAGCCGAGTTCGGAATGTACGAACGGAACAACATCGTGCAGGCGGACGTTGGAACTCAGTGAATAATTAATCCTTTACAGTAATAAATTCCGCTGAGGGCAGCGTATCAAACAAGGGCCAGCGGGTCTTTTCTGACTTTTTTTCAGGAATCAAAGCTACGTTTATATAATTGTAATGCATGTAATGTGGCATGGGTAGGTCCATTTTATGTTTAGCCAATTCAAGAGGTGGGCTTTTCTTGAAAATGTGTTTCACTGGGTGGATTTTTGACGAATTTTGCCTCTTGGGCCGAGATTCTCACAGTTGGTGCCTCACATACCTGTATATAAATAATACAAGTGATCTTTCCGGGCGCGAGCTAAAAACGAATCGAGTCTATCTGAAATCAATATTTTTATTTAGTTTTTCTAATGCTATCTGACAAGATTTTGCGGTCGCACTAGAAGGTGAAAACCCAACTAAAATATTTATTTGACACAAAACAACAGATTTCTCGATTTCTCTATTGTTGGTTGTACCATAATTATATACAGCGCCCTCCTGCAGCAAATTTGTATTAATTCTCGTTCGCTGGTTCCTTACGCCAGGATATGCGTCTGCTATTTGCGACGTTACTATCACAGACGCACTACCACCAGCTGCCTACGTATTACCGAATCGGAGAAAACAGACGGAGACAGCTAGAGTACAAACGCACACATGCTCTATCTTTATTTCAAACTTTCTCAACGCAAAACATTTCATTGATGCTTGAATTTACGGGAGCATAATGCAGAAGCGGGAAATTGGGAAGTCTCTATTTGGCCGCTCACTGGGCATAATAATTACATATTCACAGATCTGGTCTGGTCAGAATAGACATCGTTGATTATGTAAAATGCATAATATACTAGTATTTGTCATAGTGTACAAATGATTAGACATTTCAAAGGTTTATACGTATCGTACGTTGACAGTCGCGGGATTGGCATACTGCATGCGAATGACAGTGTTAATATGCATAATTATATATATATATAAAACACGCAGGCTGAAATGCACATTCTCACATACAAAAGAAGGCAATCTATTCTATTACTATCAATTCAATTTTACGCAAACACATATTAGAATTCTAGGTTTTTAATACAACATAATTCGTATCAACACTTTATTCTTATTCTTAAATATGAATTGAAGCAAATGTACTTGTAACCAGACCCAGTGCGTGTGGCATTCCGTTTATTTATATCATAGTTCACCACATAATGTGAACTGCTGGAAAAGTATTGTAGTAATCAAAGACCGTATGCGGAAAGATCGACAATAATATACTATTATATATTACATGTATATATATAATTATATAATAGCAAATCGCAAGTCTCTGTTTATTCTCGCAAACGCGCTTAATATATAGACTGCGCACTAAACACGAGTTGCAACGTTACTTTTGTCAACCAGTAATTCATGCCGTTAGTCAGAGTCAAGTCGGTTAGCGCCGTAGAAAGTCTAATTTTCCATCTGCTTGAATATACATTGTATATTGTGTTTCTATGTCTCCTTAGTATACAGTCATAGCTTCCTCCGTTATAGTAGGTCCTAGGTACGCCATGGGTAAATTCGAACCCATTCCGAATTCGTCGCTGTTACAAGAACATAAAGAATGTACGTCACCAGATTACGTCACCGACTGGCCCGATCGTTCTTATTCCACTCATCGACGTTACAGTTGAACAAATAGTTGAAGGCAGATATGTGTTCATTTCAGTCTCCGCGTGTACTCAAATCATACAGAAATGATTTAATCGAAATCAATCCTAAACACGTCAACGGGAATCCATGTGACTGGTTGAAGTGCTTGGAAGATGATATCGGCGCGGAACTAACCATAAACTCGCACAACGAACCATCTAACTCAATAGTTGACAAGGAAGACACCAAAAACAAAATTATCTTGGTACGATGTTTTTACAATAGTTTATTTAACACAGTGAATATTTAATTAAAAAATTAGTGTATTTAAAACGTTCTTCAACAATCTTTACACGTTTTTTAATGATTCAGAACTTGTTTTTCAGGGTGCTACTTGCCAACCATTACCAGAGGTTCAGTTTCAAGTTGACCCCAAGAAAAAAGAGCACATTAAACAGAAGCCGGTGTCGGGAGAGCCCGGCCGCCTGAAAGAAAACCAGCGCCAAATCAGATTGAACACCGTTATTAACGGGCATTCATATGCTTCTTCGCATGGTCGTCCAGAAAAGACAACGATATCTAATCCAACTGAGCGAACTGGCAAGAAAAGAGCAAGGCGGCGAGCAGATTCACCATCGAAAGGAACTGCCAAGAGAGCAAGACATGTGGACCTCGTTGATTCATTTGAAGCTGCTCATGCGCTTCTCAGTTTGGCGGAATTAATTATTGAACGAGAACCACAGAAATCAAAGAAGACTACTGCATATGGAAAGGTAATTGTGACTCTTTGTTCAATCTCTTTGAACATATATGTATTTACGTATTCGTGGATAATTTCATTGTACCTTGCCCAATACTGTCACTTGAGTTAAAATATTAATCATATTTGCACATTTTCAGAATACTTACTCTGAGCGAACACAAAGGGAAAACACTGTGACGATCGACAATGACGTGTTTGGTAGAATGATCGAGATGATACGATACAAGGAAGGTTATTACACCGCGCCGACTGAGCCGGAAGATTATTCATCGTGGGTTGACGTTGTCAATGATTCGAAGAGCGGCATTAAGTTAGACAGAAAAACCAACTTGATTTACACGAAAGAGGCGGGACTAACAATGCAACAAGAGAAAAAAAGGAAAATCAAGAGGAAACAAATTTTCGACATTTGATCACTTTCGAATATTATTTTATTTTGTAATATCTTACACTGATCATGCAGATTGAAAAAAAGTCACCGGAAACCTGGAGAAAAATCATCAGACGAAAAAGAGTCTTCCCACCATTTCGAGAGATTCAAGTTGCTAGAAGGAAAATCAGAGTTAAATGTACATTGTCTATATTTTGATTATTATATATAAATTAAATTTATTGAAAACTTCTTGAGTTGTATGTATCTTTCAACGTGTAAAGTGTCCAGATATGTTTGTTGCATAAAATAATGGCGGTCTATATTTTATACTTGACTCGATCTTCCACATATTGTTTCAACGTTACTATCAAAACTGGCAGCTAGGCAAATAATATAATTCGCCCTCTTTTCAGTAAAATACGATACCATCATTACTAGCATATGATTTGTGAGTGAAAGTTTAGTGGAAACCAACCAGTTTTGAAATTGTAAAATAGCACATGTACAGTGTGTCATTCGCCCGAGGAAGAGTCGCAGTAGTGCAGCAGCAAGAGACTGGAACTGAATCTAATAGGAAACAATATTATCGAGCTTGAAACGCAAAAGCCACGGTTTTCAGTTTCGAAGCGGACCTCCAAAAAGATTTTCTTTCAAATTGGCAGGAATATTGCACACTCTTCTAAATCGTAGTATCGAGAAATTCATATCTGTTAATGTGGCCCAGTCGCGACAATGTTATTGTGTTATTTGATAATTTCTTTCAATAAAATTGCAAAGGGTAGGGCAGTCCGTCTATCTAAATGTATTTGCTTATTATTCTAAAACCAATTGGTTTTTACTAAAATTCCATTCGCAAATCTAAGACTTGCTTATTCACATAAATATTATTCTGAAATATAAAAATGTCTTCTCTTGCAACAAGTTACTAGTATTTCGAAATAGAGAGAATT